TAAGAGAGATTTTCTCTGGTCCCAAATTAAAGCCTGTGTTAATGTATATATATAATAGACCAAACCCGGATATAAGAGAAACCCATATATTTTCTGGTCCCAAATTAAAGAGTTAATTTTATAATGGACCAAACCCGATATAAGCCTGTGTTATATAAGAGATATTTTCTCTGGTCCCAAATTAAAGCCTGTGTTAATGTATATATATATAGACCAAACCCGGATATAAGAGAAACCCATATAAGAGAGATTTTCTCTGGTCCCAAATTAAAGCCTGTGTTAATGTATATATATAATAGACCAAACCCGGATATAAGAGAAACCCGGATATAAGAGAGATTTTCTCTGGTCCCAAATTAAAGCCTGTGTTAATGTATATATATAATAGACCAAACCCGGATATAAGAGAAACCCGGATATAAGAGAAACGCATATATAAGAGATTTTCTCTGGTCCCAAATTAAAGCCTGTGTTAATGTATATATATAATAGACCAAACCCGGATATAAGAGAAACCCATATATAAGAGAGATTTTCTCTGGTCCCAAATTAAAGCCTGTGTTAATGTATATATATAATAGACCAAACCCGGATATAAGAGAAACACGGATATAAGAGAAACGCATATATAAGAGAGATTTTCTCTGGTCCCAAATTAAAGCCTGTGTTAATGTATATATATAATAGACCAAACCCGGATATAAGAGAAACCCATATATAAGAGAGATTTTCTCTGGTCCCAAATTAAAGCCTGTGTTAATGTATATATAAATAGACCAAACCCGGATATAAGAGAAACGCATATATAAGAGAGATTTTATATATAATCCCAAATTAAAGCCTGTGTTAATGATATTTATATAAATAAACCTGCGTTAATATATAATAGACCACCCGGATATAAGAGAAACCCGGATTAAGAGATATTTTCTGGATATAAGAGAAACCCATATATAAGAGATTTTTTCTGGTCCCAAATTAAAGCCTGTGTTAATGTATATATATAATAGACCAAACCCGGATATAAGAGAAACGCATATATAATAGAGATTTTCTCTGGTCCCAAATTAAAGCCTGTGTTAATGTATATATATAATAGACCAAACCCGGATATAAGAGACACCCGGATATAAGAGAAACGCATATATAAGAGATTTTCTCTGGTCCCAAATTAAAGCCTGTGTTAATGTATATATATAATAGACCAAACCCGGATATAAGATAAACCCATATATAAGAGATTTTTCTCTGGTCCCAAATTAAAGCCTGTGTTAATGTATATATATAATAGACCAAACCCGGATATAAGAGAAAACCCATATATAAGTGAGATTTTCTCTGGTCCCAAATTAAAGCCTGTGTTAATGTATATATATAATAGACCAAACCCGGATATAAGAGAAACCCGGATATAAGAGAAACGCATATAATGTAGATATTTTTCTAAGTTCCCCCAAATTAAAGCCTGTGTTAATGTATATATATAATAGACCAAACCCGGATATAAGAGAAACCCGGATATAAGAGAGATTTTCTCTGGTCCCAAATTAAAGCCTGTGTTAATGTATATATATAATAGACCAAACCCGGATATAAGAGAAACCCGGATATAAGAGAGATTTTTCTCTGGTCCCAAATTAAAGCCTGTGTTAATGTATATATATAGACCAAACCCGGATATAAGAGAAACACGGATATAAGAGAAACGCATATATAAGAGAGATTTTCTCTGGTCCCAAATTAAAGCCTGTGTTAATGTATATATATAATAGACCAAACCCGGATATAAGAGAAACCCATATATAAGAGAGATTTTCTCTGGTCCCAAATTAAAGCCTGTGTTAATGTATATATATAATAGACCAAACCCGGATATAAGAGAAAACACGGATATTAGAAAAAACACGGATATAAGAAAGAGATTTTCTCTCTTGTCCCCAAATTAAAGCCTGTGTTAATGTATATATATAATAGACCAAACCCGGATATAAGAGAAACCCTCTATATATAAGAGATTTACTCCGGTCCCAAATTAAAGCCTGTGTTAATGTATATATATAATAGACCAAACCCGGATATAAGAGAAACCGATATATAAGAGAGATTTTCTCTGGTCCCAAATTAAAGCCTGTGTTAATGTATATATATAATAACCCGTATATAAGAGTCCAATTAAAACCGTATATAAGAGAAACCAAAACCGGATATAAGAAACCGGATATAAGACCCATATATAAGAGAGATTTTCTCTGGTCCCAAATTAAAGCCTGTGTTAATGTATATATATAATAGACCAAACCCGGATATAAGAGAAACACGGATATAAGAGAGATTTTCTCTGGTCCCAAATTAAAGCCTGTGTTAATGTATATATATAATAGTCCAAACCCGGATATAAGAGAAACACGGATATAAGAGAAACACGGATATTAGAGAAATGTATATATATACAGCATATAAAGAGAGATTTTCTGGTCCCAAATTAAAGCCTGTGTTAATGTATATATATAATAGACCAAACCCGGATATAAGAGAAACCCATATATAAGAGAGATTTTCTCTGGTCCCAAATTAAAGCCTGTGTTAATGTATATATATAATAGACCAAACCCGGATATAAGAGAAACCCGGATATAAGAGAGATTTTCTCTGGTCCCAAATTAAAGCCTGTGTTAATGTATATATATATAATAGACCAAACCCGGATATAAGAGAAACCCGGATATAAGAGAAACGCATATATAAGAGAGATTTTCTCTGGTCCCAAATTAAAGCCTGTGTTAATGTATATATATAATAGACCAAACCCGGATATAAGAGAAACCCATATATAAGAGAGATTTTCTCTGGTCCCAAATTAAAAGCCTGTGTTAATGTATATATATAATAGACCAAACCCGGATATAAAAAACCCACGGATATAAGAAAAAAGTTATATAAAGAGAGATTTTCTCTGGTACCAAATTAAAGCCTGTGTTAATGTATATATAATAGACCAAACCCGGATATAAGAAAAACCATATATAAAGATTTTCTCTGGTCCCAAATTAAAGCCTGTGTTAATGTATATATATAATAGACCAAACCCGGATATAAGAGAAACACGGATATAAGAGAGATTTTCTCTGGTCCCAAATTAAAGCCTGTGTTAATGTATATATATAATAGACCAAACCCGGATATAAGAGAAACACGGATATAAGAGAAAACGCATATATAAGAGAGATTTTCTCTGGTCCCAAATTAAAATATGTGTTAATGTATATATATAATAGACCAAACCCGGATATAAGAGAAACCCGGATATAAGAGAAACGCATATATAATAGAGATTTTCTCTGGTCCCAAATTAAAGCCTGTGTTAATGTATATATATAATAGACCAAACCCGGATATAAGAGAAACCCGGTTATAAGAGAGATTTTCTCTGGTCCCAAATTAAAGCCTGTGTTAATGTATATATATAATAGACCAAACCCGGATATAAGAGAAACACGGATATAAGAGAAAGGCATATATAAGAGAGATTTTCTCTGGTCCCAAATTAAAGCCTGTGTTAATGTATATATATATAATAGACCAAACGCGGATATAAGAGAAACCCATATATAAGAGAGATTTTCTCTGGTCCCAAATTAAAGCCTGTGTTAATGTATATATATAATAGACCAAACCCGGATATAAGAGAAACCCATATATAAGAGATTTTCTCTGGTCCCAAATTAAAGCCTGTGTTAATGTATATATATAATAGACCAAACCCGGATATAAGAGAATTACGGATATAAGAGAGATTTTCTCTGGTCCCAAATTAAAGCCTGTGTTAATGTATATATATAATAGACCAAACCCGGATATAAGAGAAACACGGATATAAGAGAAACGCATATATAAGAGAGATTTTCTCTGGTCCCAAATTAAAGCCTGTGTTAATGTATATATATAATAGACCAAACCCGGATATAAGAGAAACCCGGATATAAGAGAAACGCATATATAATAGAGATTTTCTCTGGTCCCAAATTAAAGCCTGTGTTAATGTATATATATAATAGACCAAACCCGGATATAAGAGAAACCCGGATATAAGAGACTTCTTCTCCAGTCCCGACAACTCTCTAACATCCGGGTTATACTGTATTATATTTAATCTTATTTTCATTTATTACGGACTTTTCGACCACTAGATCGGACATATTAATTTCATTGTTTCTTTTCGTAAGAACGACATCTACTTTCATGTATATTCATGTGTTTGCGTGAATGTTTGTTCCTGTTAACAGATGCATCTATTTATTTAAGTGAAATCTGAACAATAAGATTAAAAAAAATATTTTAGTTTTATCAAAACCTATTAATTTCAATAGAATATATTCCCTTGTTAATGCTTTTAATCTAAACATGAACTCTGTCTCATAGATTGAACATTATATGGTGTAAATTTAGGATCAACTCAAAATTCAAATAATAATTGTATATCAAGCGACGGAATTAATGATCCACCTTCGTATACCTGAAATATTTTTCCTTACACGGAGTCCTATGAAAATCAATTGAGACAATGTAAACCAACTGTATTTCACATGGTCAGTGTTGATACAATTAGCAATTAACCTAGCGAAGGAAATTATTTTATATGGTGGCATAAATCTAATTAATATTGTACATGAAATTTGAAACTCCTGTTTTTATCTTCTTCTATTTACCTATAGACGTGGGTGATCAAGGCTCTCCACAATTTCCTCTCCTATGTAACGGTTAATATAGTTTTTTTTTTTTTTTTTTTTTGCTAATGCCTGACTGTCTACGACGCCCTTCGTGGCGGAGTCGCTTAAAAATCACGCCGGATATAACGACGTAGTTTCGAATCAGGGACATTTTTTTTTCTTTAAGATTTCTAGAATATTCAAACCGGTAAGCGGAAATAAAGAAAAAATAGTTTAAAATAAAAGGTTCGTATCTATCAAAAAATAACATTTCTTGTATAAAAATATGTTTATATGGATCTATCTATCTATCTATCTATCTATCTATCTATCTATCTATTATGGCCATATCACGTTGAAACACCAGTTCTTGTCCGATGACCAAAATTAAGCAATGTCGAGACTGAGCAGCAGCTTGATGGGTGACCTCTCGGTAATACCATTTTAATCTTGGATGGGCAGATGGTGTAATATGTAATCGCTCGAAATGA